TTACCGCTCGGCTACGAAATGCGCCACAGTTCAGCAAGGTCCCATATCTCCCTTTTGAGTAAAAGCATACCTTCCTCACTAATCTCCTATTTGTTGAGTTTCATATCCGAAATGTAAAACAATTGCTAAAAAACTAAAAGATTTATTTTTAAGCCGACATTTTTTTTATTACATCAAACATTATTATAGTGGCTCCTCTTATTTGAAATAGGCGTCCTGGGTAAGACGTTAAACTACATCCACGTCCTGGATAAGAATATAAACTACGTCCATCAGCAAGATCTGTGATCAGGAAGTTTTGAGGAGCGTGGAACCACTTAATTGCTGGTGTTCCCAGGTTCACTCTGACCTGGGGTGGTAGCACCTGTTAGGGTCCCAGCTATGGGCAAATTAGTTAACTATTACCAGCAATACTTTTTGAAAAAAAATTATTACCAGCAACACAATTTTGAAGGAAAAATATTACAAGAAACAGATTTTTGACAAAACAAAATATTACCAGCAATAACAAATTTTGTCGGCATTAAGTAACCCATTTAGGTTGATATGCCGTAAAACAAAATAAACCAAACCAAACTTATTTGAAACAGACCCATCATTCTCGACTGGACAGGTTCATAGACGTAATAAACTGTTTAAAGTAAAAAAAATAAACTGTTTAAAATAAAAAAAAAAAAAATGGGGCGTCTATTTCAAACACGAGTATCCACTAAAAATAATAACGTTCGAAGTAATAAAAATACCGAATCTATAATAAATCGACTAATTCTTTAGAAATTGCATTTAGTTTCAGGTACGAAACTTAGCTGATATGAAACTTTTGGGACAATATCATCGTGAAGAAGAAGTGCGAGTTCCTTAAAAGAGAAAACCGAGTCTTTCTCAGTTGTGAGGCTCTTCGTAGCCGAGTGGTAAAGCACACCGGATCAAACAGTGGTTTCTCCTACAAAAGGGGAGTTCATATGTTCGATTCCTGCTGGAGAGCACATTTCCTTTGAGATTTCTCGACAGACGCAATATCCTGTTTAAAGCTAAAAATGAAAATGGAGCTGTTATTTCAAATACGGGCATCCATTAAAATTTAATTTAATTTATATGAATAAAGACAAAAGGAAAAACTTATCTTAGCCGATGTGTTTCGTCCCCTGATAAACTTTACTAAGGCAAATGTAAGGATTTCATTTTGCAACACGCATTTATAAACAGAAAGTAAAAGTGTGTGTGTGTGTATAATATCGGAAGCAAAAGTGAAGACGAGACAAAATGAATTTTTTTTTTTTAAATCAAAGAGAGAGAAAAAAAAAAAAACGCGTTTCGCCACCGGAGAAAATGTTTTCTTTGGCTTCTTCAGTTTTTGTCGTTTATTATCAAACTGAAAAAGTGAAAGAGAAAACACATTTTTTCCGCTGGCGAAACTTTTTTGATCAAAATTTTCCACTGTCATCTTCACACACACACACACACACACATATATATATATATATATATATATATATATATATATGCACAGAGAGAGAGGCTAGTAGACAGATTTACACCATTTTAAAAAAAAAACAGGGAGATCGACTGAAAGCGTGTATCTACTAACAAAAAAAAAAAATTAAAAATTATATAAGGCTTGATTATGAAACTGAATTTATTTTCCAGCAATCATTTTTTTTTCTTTAAAAACATTAATTGTTGAAGAAATTATCGTCTTTTAAAAAATATAACTTAAAAAAAATAATTTCAGTTTTAGTCCCCTTGACGAATAAGTGTCCTCGAAACTCAGAGTCGTGTTAAATAAATAAATAAATAAAAAAATAATAATATTAATATTGTTGTTTTTGTTGTTGTTATAATAATAATCATCATCATCATCATGTTCTTGATATAGAGCGCTCTAATTACAAAAACTGCTCTTCTTAAAAACGTTATCTTCTTGAAATACACTCTCTAGTCAGTTATTTTTCATTGAATGCGACTTTTGTTATTTTTCAATGTTGCAAGTCCCATTTTCCATGCATTTTTCTTATTAAATTTAAGAGTTTCTTGGTAGGTTCCGCCCACCTTATTTTCTGGAGAGAACAAAAAATATATTTTGATAGATTTTTTTTTTTAGAGTGGAGGGGGTGCGGGGGAGAAGAAAGAAAGGCGTTTCCTGTGAATTGCGTCATGAAAATAAATAATTGTCATCAAGAGATCCTGGTTTACCAGAGAAAAACAAATCAATGTGTAGAAACGAATGCGTTTATAATATTCTTAGTCGGCAAGCAGACATATGATACAACAAATGACACCCGTCCTAAACATCTGTATTCTCATTAAACTAAAAACAGCTTCTTAACCAAACACTAGCATTCGATATTTACCGGCGCTTCTCAATAACACGTACAATAGGGATTTACTTACTAAGTTTAGCATAAAAGGTACAAGTGACAGGCACCGAGTGAGGATCAAATTCACAATACTACGAATACTTCAGATTGACGAAACTGGCTTGTTAATACCTGACGTGTGGGGGGGGAACTTTTATAAAAGTGCGGTCCCAAGAATCATCTGGTGACTGATGTACAGACCTCACTTGAAGAGACACAGATAAACGGACAAAGAGAGAGAGACAGAGACGGACAGAGAGAGAGATGCAAGCAGACAGAGTTGCATGCAGAGAGATAGAGACAGATAAGCAATTATATTGTATTTTTTAATAGGACACTATACGTGGGGTACTTATATTTTTAGTGGGTACACGTGTTGGAGTAGATATCCTTGCTTAAATAAAATAACGTTAAATTAATATCTCCTAGCCTAGAGATTGAGAGTCATACAGTGTAACCCGGATATAAGAGAGTTGTCGGGACCGGAGAAGAAGCCTCTTATATCCGGGTTTGGTCTATTTTATATACATTAACACAGGCTCTAATTTGGGACCAGAGAAAATCTCTTATATCCGGATTTCTCTTATATCCGGGTTACACTGTACTAGAAAAAATATGTTTTTCTCTCCTTGGTAGTATATCTTTAGGCCGGTAGACATTACGTTACCTGTTAAAAAACAAAACAGACATGTGTACCCCCGTTTACAAAGGAAAAGTGACATTTTGAAAACTAAGGCCTAAGTATTAGAAAAATCAATCAAAACATTGTTCCACATCTGTTTATCGTAACGTCCCAACTACGTGATCTAATTTATTTTAAATTAAAATTTTTTTTTTAAATAAAAGCATTTCAACAAGTAACTGCACGTGATGAAGAACAGATGTGGCGAAAGTTGTATTACCTGTCTTAAAACACAAGGGCAAAATCGTACAATACAGTTTGGAACAGTACCACGCTTGAGTTAAGAACTTAAGACTATATTACGCCATTCTTCTCAACAGAGGAGAAAAACATACCTCGAGAAACACACACATACAACACAAACACTATTCAAAATCCTTTCCCTGACCCTTGAGAGCAGTGACAAAATTGCTAGTCATTTTTTTTTTTTTTTTTTTAACTAGCACAAGACCAATCGGGAGGTACTAAAAATAAAATTGTGTCGCGTCAGTCTTTTAACTAAACGATAATCCTGACTTGAATACCAACATTCAAAATTTTAACTTAGACCAAGCCTCGAACATCGACCCCTGGTGCCGACGAGAGATAATAATACACAACTAAACGCTACACAGATTCAAACATTGTTGTATAGTTTTTTACACCCCTAATTGTGTAAATTTGAACGAATGTGCTCAATCGTAATTATGTTAACTTTATATTTTATCGAGAGAGAAAGCAACGGGAAACCACTCCACTCTCTTTAAGAAGATAGTCATTCATTAGTGAAGAGTAAGATTGAAGAGCTATATCATCGACTAATTTTGAGGTATATCATTTTTTTTTTTTTTTTAAACAGCTTGCAAGTTTGTTTTGAATTTTGCAAATAACAAATTCGGTTATCCTTTCGTGACTCTGCCTGAGTCTTATACCATACTAGACTAAGTGAGTGAAATCAAACATTTACTTAAGTAGGTACGTATCGTGGAACGTCAGTGAATGACTGTATCCCGTAAATATGTAGTGTTACAGAAGAGCAGAATATGTGACCTTGGTCACAATTTTCTCCTCTTCTCTTTTAATAAAAGTAAAACCAAGTTGTTAACTAGTAATACGCAATATCAAACGTTCGAAGACATTTAACACTTATAACAAATTCCGTCATACAATTAAAACAAGACAGAAATCTAGAAATAAAAGTCCAGAACAAAGTCATTTTTCTTTCTTTCTATGCGTGGTATATACATGCCTTCTCTGTGGAACTCACGTTCACACGACGTGGTCAGTGAAATCTTCATTCACAGATGCAAGCAATGTCTCCCCTACCCTACTACTCCAAGTTCTTGAGTAGCACACATCTGATGCGTGCGTAAAAAAAAAAAAGTCAACCTTTAGAGAATAATATCAGAGGAACAACATTTTTAATACTAAACATAACAGGTCACAATGGAAAGCCTACTTTCGTAGTTACTGCCTGGTAACAACCATATAAGAATATGTTTATCGTAGAAGCTACACGATAAAGCTAGTGAGAAGAAAGAGAAAAAAATCTCAGCGGGGATGAAACGCCTTTTTATGAAAACTCATAATTAAAAGTACTAAATTGCATATACGTCTAAATTTGAAGGTTTCTAAATTTAGAAGATACGCCGACTAAGTCCTTATGTTTAAAACAGAAGACGTAGCAGTTTCACCTGACTCAAAAGAAATTTATTGAATATATAACTAAGAAAGTATCAACTTTTTCAGCAGTTAATTTGAAAGTAAAAAAAACAATTAAAACAAAAAAATAAGAAAAAAAAATCAAATAAGGAAACGAATATTTGAAGATTAAAAAATAGGTTTCTCAGTTTTTCGAAAGAAATTGAAAACAAATTTTATCGAGCAAAAAGATTATTTAAAAAAAAAAAAAAAGCGATGAAGATAAAATCGAAGAAAAAAAATCAAAACAAAACAAAAAAAAAAAAGAATCGTTTTCCTACCTGAATTCGACAACATAAATGTCAATAAAATAATAGTACACAATTCGTCACAAACCGGTTGGGAAGCAGTTACTTGAAAAGATAGAAATTTTAGCAAAGCAACACAAAGTGGTGGTAGCGGGATCAGGGATGAGGGGGTCCCCGTTGACGTAAAGAAAAAAAATGAAAGAGACCTTGGAAGGATGGGCGAAGAGAGACGTTGGATAAAAGATAAAAACAGAGAGAGTGAGAGAAGAGAGGAGAAAAAAAAAGGAAGTGTGTGTGAAGGAAGCTGACAGTGGAATTTCAGTGAAGTGTGGTTGGAGGAGGGGACGCACGACGGTCAAGTGGGAGGGGTTTCCGAAATGGTGCCGGGTTATTGAAAAGAAGAGGAAAGGAAAGTGTTGAGAAAAAAAAAGTTATTTTTTGTCTATATATTTAGGGGGAGAAACAGAGGATGGCACGCGATGTGGCAAGAACTAAAGAGAAGTCCCATTCCAGAAATAACTTCATTCTCTGTCCGCTTGTCTGTCTGTGCGTCTTGAGGTTCGAGCTCCAACCCCAAGATAAAGAAAATAACCAACTGCCATTTACGACTACGGTGACGACAACAACGACTATTAATACTAATACTACAGTGGCTACAGAAACTATTAGTTTTGCTATTACTAATTCTACCACCTAAAGCTTGTTATATCGTCTGATAAAGAAAGTAAGAGTTGTATTTCTTTTCTGTCTTTCCGCTGATGTGCGAGTGTGTAAAAGAGTAACCTGATACATCCCGACTTTCGAGCTTGTAGAAGACATTCGCAAATTTATCTGTTGCTACTATCTGGGCCAGCCAGGAGACGAGACACTTTGCAACCAACCAAAGGAGAGTTCTAACAGACAACTTCAGTTCCACAAATATCAGGCGACAATATTTTTGCAAGAGAAATTATTCACTTGAAGAAAAAAAAAAAAAAAATCACACTATCCCGGAAAAGGTTTTTTTTTCTTTTCTCAAAAAATTTAAAAGTGTATAAATATTGTTAAAATCGGACTTATATTCACACGGCAATTACAACTTAAAAAGTTCATCTACTTTACCTGTTACCATACGTAGAGCAGAATGAAAATGTCCGAACACGGAATTGGCAGGTAAGGTTCAAATCCCAACTGCTGAGTTCACTTTGCACAAACGCTGTTTGCAGAGGCATGAACTCAACTCTTCATGGATAAAATAAAAGAGCAGACTGGGCTCTTTATTCTTAGAGAAACCACACTTGTAGACGGTTACAGAAAACTACTATACTACCTTTGATAGGACTGGGGTCCCTATCGGAAAACTACCAGAGCGAGACAACCTTGACTACACAGTCATTGGTCAGAGATAGCTCAACCCACCACGTGTAAATGGAATGCTAAGACAATTCATAATATTAAAAAAAATAAAATAAAATAAAAAAATACACACCTGGTAGAGGGATTTTTACCCTTGCAAAGATATAGTGAAAGATGATCCTAAAATCAATCATGGCTAGTGTCAACCAACACCAGAGAAGGAGAAGGTATAATGGAAAAATACTAAATACTATTGCATTTGTTGCACCTGTAAAAAGAGGAAATATGTAATTATTTTATTATTGTGATGGCGGAGAGAGAGACTGCTCGATATCAGGAATAGTGATGATGCCTGTAGTGTAAATATGGTGTTGATTTCCACGTGCGTGCGTGTCCATGCAAAGTGCCATAAACAAATACACGGCGTTCATAATTATCGACAATACAATCGTACTCGGCTAATCCAGCTTTAAAAAAAAATTAATAAAAAATAAAATTTTACAGTCTCTTCAAATCAAACGACAATGATACACTAATAAAAATTTGTTTTTATCTCGACACGCATGTGTTAAAATACCTTTGAAAGGTAAGCTCATTTTAGACAAATGACGCTATCATCACCTCAGGATGAAAACTCAGGTTTATTTCAAATGTCAGACAGTATAAACTGCCCACACAATTATTGGATATATATATATATATATATATATATATATATATATATATATATATATATATATATATATCAAACACTAATATTCCATGGTTATAATTTATTACATTGGAATCGTAATCACTACCCAATTCATCAGACCTACAAATTTAAAAAGAAAACAGAAAATATAACTCCGGGTATAAAAAACAAAATACACATAAATTCGCACTGAAATTTTGTTTTTTATATCCGGAGTTATATTTTCTTTTTAAATTTGTAGGTCTGATGAATTGGATAATGATTACGATTCCAATATAATAAATTATAACCATGGAATATTAGTGTTTAAGCCCTTTATATTATATTCTTGCTCTGTCTTGTACATTGAGCTCTACCTGGATGTTATCCTCTTGGAGATATACATATTGACCACTAATATATATATATATATATATCCGATGCAATGAGAACGGACGTAATATATAAATTCTAACGTTCACAGCATTAATCCAAAAGAGGGCCCGATACAGATAGTAGAGCGATAATTATTTATTATAGTTTTATCATATAGACAAAAACAGTTTACTCACTACAACGATGCAACTTCGTTTCGGTGCATTTCATCTGCAACCTCGATGGGTGAGAACCGAAAATTGTTATAAACTGTTTATAACCATTTTTTGTTCTCACCCGTCGAGGTGCAGTTGAAATGCACCGAAACGAAGTTGCATCTTTGTAGTGATTAAACTGTTTTTGTCTATATGATAAAATTATATATATATATATATATATATATATATATATATATATATATATATTTCCAACTTTATTTTTTAGTGGACACACATATTTGAAATCGACGCCTCATTTTTTTAAAACTTTTAAAACAGTCTGTATTAGATCTATCGGCCTGCGCATTACATATATCCGCTATAACGTTTGAAGTAAAATTATATAAAATGTGTGTGTGTTAATTTGAAATACTGTTTTTGAAGCCAAATTGCAGGCCCTTCAGTAGTCTGCCGATAAGGAGACACTAAATGCAAGCATTGTTGGACGCGTACAGCCACGAAACTCCGAAGTAAACAGGAGTTGAACAAAAAATTTCATACACACACTATATATATATATATATATATATATATATATATATATCTAGAGGGTGTATCAAAAAACTTTTACACACTGCTGGGCGGGTTCCTCACACCAAAACAAGGACAAAAATTCATATAAACATGTATCCGCAAATGCTTCGTTTTTCAGTTTACGATAGTCGCTGTTAAATGTACAATCCAAAAATACTTATTATAGTTTGTAGTGCCACGGACCCAGTCTTAGTAACGCGAGGATAAACAGCAGCAAAGATTGAATGACTCAGCTGCCTTTAGTCTGTAAACGCAATCGGATACAGCCGTGCAGCCTCATGTCCATTACCATTCGCGCGCCCTTATGCAAAAAAAAAAAAAAATATCTGCCTGCTCACGATATGAATATCTTGAGTCAATTTATGCTAGGTATGAGAGGAATCATTTATTCAAAGAGAACTGAACCGTCTTCACCTGTCCGACAAAAAATACCATGGATCAACAGTACAATTTAGTGCCTTGACACAGATTTTACGGGGAATGTTTGATATTACACTTTTTCTTCTGTCCTTTTAGTTCTTCGATGTCTCTAACATCTTTGCTATACACGCGATCCTTTATCCATACCCCATAAGCAGAAGTTTCAGTGTGTAATTGGCCCATATTTCTTTACAACTCCAACGGTGACTGAAAATGCTTACTTACAAAGGCTGCAAAAGTTTGCCATTGATAACATACCCTTACAAATAAGACGAGCAGGGTATTTCCAACAGGATGGTGCACCGCCTCATTTTGCCTGAACTGTTCGCGCGTGCCTCGATCAAAAGTTTCCCAAATCGTTGGATAGGTCGCGGCGGACCGTTGGTTTAGCCACCACACTCCCCTGACCTGACACCCTTAACTAATTAACATACACAAATATTTGTACTTTCAGAAACATACCGACCTAAAAGCTTAAAAAGAAATAAGGAAAAAAAAATCTTAAAGGAAAAAAAGAGCTTCGCATTTATCAATGATGTATTCACTTTCAAACTTGACAGAATTATCGGAGCTTAACTAATTAAGAAATCCGCGATTGATTTTACACAGGATCGCTATTAAGAACAGTACCCCACTTCGAAATCGTTAAAAAAAGAAAATCTGACGAGTGTTGCAATCGAAGGAAGATCTGAAGAATACAAAAAAATATGCCCTTTTTTTTTTCGAGTGGACCAGTCTATTTAAATAGTACTTACTCAGAAAATATTGCACATTCAAAAAGGCTGAAGCAAAAGTTTTAATAGTTTGTCACCAATAGAAACAGTTGGTCGGCCTTGTTGGCTGTTCCTCGGTCCAGTGACCTTTCTCGGCCTAGAAAGGTCTTCTATCGTCTTCTAGTCGAGGGGGTTGCGAAGGATTCCCTACATGAGGAGCTCGACTTGTCGGAGGAGGAGTTTCGCTCTTACTGGTCTTGGGCGCCAGCGGCGGATTATTTCAGCAACCCTGAGTTTTCGCTTACCTGGCGATTGGCTTGGAATCGGCTGCCTCTCTATGACAAGGCCTTCATATGAGGCTTGGCGGATTTGACAGACTGTGAATGGTGTGGTCTTGGTTTAGAGGAAACGGCGTCGCACGCCTTCTACCATTGTCCCCCGGTCCGCCCTTTATGGGACCATGTCGGTGAGCTGAAGGCTCGTCTCGCTCCCGAAAGGCTCGTGCCCATTGATCGCGCATACGCGTGTGACAATGTGTCGCCACCCCCCGTATTCCGGGATAAAACGAATGGTGTTTCTGACGCTGCTGGCCACGGCCCGAATGGTGATCTGGACGACTCGACAGGTGGAAGTCTTGCGGGGTATCCGTCTTTCTCATCAGGATCTGATCCGATTCTTTGAGCACTAGCTCAAGATGAAGATTAGAACTGATAGAAAACGCTTGCATTCGACAGTCTTCAGCGAAAGGTGGGTGACTGAGGCGAGCTTGGTTCGTTTGAACGGGGCTAGCCTTGATTTTCTCTTTTAGGTCAAGCCTACGTCACATCAGGGTGGTTTCCTGTGGAGCCCTCACCTTGGTTAGGTTAGACAAGCTTTTGTGTACCTAGTTAATGTGAGTAAGTGTTATTCCTGGCCTGTCACTGGCCACATCTTTGGTTATGATCCAGGTTGAGATTCCAAACCTCCCCAGTTTTTTTGTTTTTTTTGGCGCCTTTTTATCTCTTCCGGGTCAGCTTTATTTTTTCCCATCCCTGTA